GGGGGAGGAGGAGGATTGGAGGCATGGAAATTCGCACCAACACCAACACAAGGGGTTGCCTCCTCCTCCTCCGAGGAGGAGGGGGAGGGGGAGGAGGAGGATTGGAGGCATGGAAATTCGCACCAACACCAACACAAGGGGTTGCCTCCTCCTCCTCCTCCTCCTCCTCCTCCTCCTCGGACACGGTCGCAGGAACGAGAATGGGACGCCGCGATCGCTGGCAACAGCTGCTTGAGGGAGGCACTACGGCGCCGAATCACAGACGAGTGCGCGGACGCCTTCGACATGACGGAGTCCATCTTGCTCGCGGGCATCGGGAAATTCTACGACAGCCTGCGGACCGACAAGACCGTGCCAGCCGCCCTCCGAATGCAGTTCCCAGCACGCCCGCTCTACCTGATGATGCTCCAACACTCGGCCACACGAGTGCTACGGCGGCAGAGCTCCTACTCCATGCCGATGTATACAAACATATCGACCCTGGCGGGGTCGAGGCACGCAAACAATATCGCGCGTACAGTCGTCTACGCCGCCATGATACAGCTCACTAGCACCAACCACATCCCTCGGCCCCTCCCACGCGCCTGGTTCGATGACATCAGCGTGCGCATCGTGGGCAGCCGCGAGCAGGTCACCAACTCCACCATCATCATCACGCAGGAGCTGTTCCACGCACTGGCGGACCAGGGCCTCCGCCTGGCCGACAAGACGACGCTCATGACCACCCGCTTCGAGGACACCAAGTATATCCACGCCCAGCTGGCCAGCCATGATATCCACCTCAAGGCCGCCACCGAGGGGCGAGACCTCGGCGACGACAGGGCCGCTCGCGGCACCACCAGGCGAGCCACACACGCCACGCGACTCAGTGCAGCACGACGGAGGCTGGGAGCAGTGGGACGCAAGCTACGCAGACTGCGGATACGCAACAAGGCGAAGCTACTGCAGAAAGGTGCGATGGCATCGCTCAAGTACGGTCCCGCCTTCCACCGCATGGCACCCACGGCGCTCCTCCATGCGCGACGGAAGTACGCCCAGGCACTACGACGACCGTGGCCAGGCAGATGCTTGACGACATTCCTCGACCTCGAGGGTGACGGCCCAGCATACACCATAGTCAAGACGCAGTTCACCAACTGGCTCAACTGTTGGCAGCACAGCCCAGACCTTAGAGCCCAAGTACGACGAGCATGGCCGAAGATCTACTTCCGCATGCTCAGGGTCCCTGAAGGCCGACGATGGACGCAGCGACGAGGGCCAATCGCCGCCATCATGCTGACGCTCTGGCAACTCGGCTGGGACTCACGAGGGCCAGAGCACTGGATCGACCGCGACAAGAACGACTGGAAGTTCCCACCCGACGGCGAGCTTGGGGACAATACCGACATCCTCGACGCGATCCTCGCCGACACCCGTTTACAGCCTTGGCAACGGACAGCAGAACATTACAACGGAGGCGGACTACAGCACCACGGTGCCGACGCGACCGACCTACGACGACATCTGGAGTACTTCCGCAAGCGGGGCAACTTCCGCGAGTATGGCGGACTCCTCGCCGCAGCGTGCGCAGGCACATGGACTAGAGCACGGAAGCGCACGGTATTCGGACATGGCTGCGACAGCTGCGAATGTGGACAACCCGACAGCGACTACCACCGCATCTGGGGCCAGTGCACGCATCGTGGCGACCACCCCACCTTCGAGAAGACCGACCGCATCATACGACAGGCCGAAGCAGGACACGGCAGCACCCCAATATTCTGGTTGCGAGGGGTCACTCCGCGGGCGTGGTCGGTCCCACCCGAGTGCACTACAGACGAGACAGCGGCAATCGACAACATCGGCGAAATGATCCACAACACTATGCTAGAGGCGCCAGCGGACACACCACTGGTCATCTACGGCGACGGCTCAGGATGCAAGCGCAGCACCGCCTGGGGGCACCGACGTAGTGCATGGGCATGGGCGCGGCTTACCACAACAACGGAGGGCAGCTACCAGCTGGCTGCTGCGCGATACGGGCCATTACCATCCAGGAGACAGACAAACCATCGAGCATAACTCTGGGCACAACTCGATTGCCTACGACACACGCGAGGGCCGCTACACATCTGGACCGACAGCGAGCTGGTGTTCAGGGGCTGGAGAGACCGCCGTTTCCAGCGAGCAGCAGAAGTCAGCACCAACGGTGACCTCTGGACGCGCATCGGGCACACCATCGCACAGCGAGAACACGGAGCGGACATCGTGAACGTCTTACACATCAACAGCCACCCCACCTGGGAGGAGGCCCAAGCCAGGGGCTTCCCACACGACGCGTGGCTCGGCAACCAGCATGCCGATCGACTGGCAGAGCAAGCAGCCCACGACCACGACATCGACGACAACCAGATGGACCTATACGACTGGGTCAACGCCACTGGCAGCCCTCGTCAGACGGCGCATCGCAGCTGCCACAGTCGACGCCACCGACCGTCGCCCCTCCGACGACAGGGCGATC